CAGTGATAAAATATTCTATCCTGTAATGAATTAGCTCTGCTAAAAGAATTGGACAGGAATTTTGTATGGATGCACCCATCTTTGTCCACACAATTTAATTGGCTTTTTTTCCTTCTTTTTTTTCTTTCTTTGGAAGTGTAGACAATTAATATTTTCATGGATGAAAGACATTGATACAAAATGTGTAGGCCTAGTCCCAAATAGTCAGACTGTGTGGGAGTAGTTTGCGATATATATTGCCATTTCACTTTCATTCAAGTTGTGTGTATATTTGTATTTTGTTTGTGTGTATGCATGTATGTATATTTTAATGCAAGTTTAGACCCAATTTTTTTCTCTGGAAAATTAAAATGAACAACTTTAAATATGATTGTGTTTATTACCAAATAATTTCTAAAAAGTTCTATAAAATAATGCTCTGTCTGATTTTTTAAGAATTTAGCTTTCATGTTTTTGTCTCCATCATTATTATTATTTTTATATATATATATATATATATATATATATATATATATATATATATATATATATATATATATCAGCCTAGTTTAGGGGTTGACAAAACTGAATAGGAGAAGGTGCCTTATTCTAATATAAATAGATAGTTAATGAGCAAGCAAAGTTAGATCTGAATACAGAGAGAGAGAGATTATAAAGAGAAATCTGAATACAGAGAGAGGAAAGGAGAGAGTGATTATGAACAGAGATTTGAATACACAGTGAGAGATTATAAAGAGAGATCTGAATACAGAGAGAGGAAAGGAGAGTGAGATTATAAAGAGAGATCTGAATACACAGAGAGAGATTACAAAGAGAGATCTGAATACAGAGAGATGAAAGGGGAGAGTGATTATGAACAGAGATCTGAATACACAGTGAGAGATTATAAAGAGAGATCTGAATACAGAGAGATGAAAGGAGAGAGTGATTATGAACAGGGATTTGAATACACTGTGAGAGATTATAAAGCGAGATCTGAATACAGAGAGAGGAAAGGAGAAAGAGATTATGAACAGAGATCTGAATACACAGAGAGAGATTACAAAGAGAGATCTGAATACTGAGAGAGGAAATGAGAGAGTGATTATGAACAGAGATCTGAATACACTGTGAGAGATTATAAAGAGAGATCTGAATACAGAGAGAGGAAAGGAGAGAATGATTATGAACAGATCTGAATACAGAGAGAGGAAAGGAGAGAGAGATTATGAACAGAGATCTGAATACAAAGAGAGAGAGAGATTACGAATGGAATTACTTGTGAATACACTGAGAAAGAGAGACCAAATTCTAATATTATTGAAAATAGGTATTAATAATAATTTAAATAGTGTTGTGGAATTTGAAAGTAAAATATTCAGCTTCATTACTGGTAAATATTAGTGTCTCTGTCCCATAGTAATTGTTACATTTTTATATACATGTCATATGTATTTTATGTTCATCCCTTTAGTATAACAACTGTTAATGGACATGTATGATTCTATTTTTCATAATTTCAGTCAGAAGTCTTCATTTTTTGCAAAAATTTCTCTTTGCAGACACAGCAGGAACAGAATTGTCGAATTCCATCTTGCACTCAACCCAAAAAGCTTGTTGACTCTGAGCATTCTGTGCTGCAGCAGAACACTGTAACAAGCGATCAACCAGTAATAACGCAAATAGGAAATATCGAAGCTTTAGGCCAGGCATTTGTGTCCTGGTTCTACAGCATGTGGAACTCACACAATCAGAAAATGAATACATCGAAGCCTTTGGATTTTGGTCCACAGCACTTCTGGCCTGATGCTACTTTGCAAGTAAATACATTGACTGAGCCAACTGTAATGGGTTCAGTGGGAACAGCAGAGAGACTTTTGCAGTTTGTGCAGCAAGGCTTTTACTTCCATGCTAATATTAATGAGGGCATCTTCACAAAAAGTGAGAGCCATGGCTTAATATGTATCATTGTACACGGGACTGTACATAAAGAACAATACTGCCTTGGACCTTTCGAGCAGGCCTTTACGCTCTTACAAGACCCATGGGATGGTAATAACTGGAAAATCAAAAGCATTTCCCTCAATGTTAATAACACAGAACACGTTGCCGTGAATTATAAATAATTATTAAAAAAAATAACCTGCAAAAAGTTAATGATCTTTAAAAAAACAAATCATTTCTGAACTTGTAATTATCTTTCATTGCCTTGTCATGGATTATCAGTAAAAATGATGCAAAACACAACACAAACCACTTTGGAAGTATCTTCTAAAGTGAGACTGATTCTAAAAATGCTAGGAAAAAAGCTTATTAAACATCCACGAGGAAGACTACTCATATGGATTGCCAAATTTCTCTTTGTAATATTTGTTTTTGAATTTGAACTAACATTGGTGATACATATACTCAATGAATGGAGTTAATGTTATATTGTGATTTTTTTAGAGGTTTATCTAATACATTAAGACCTTTGTTAATGGGAATATTAAAATATATAGAAAAACACATTAAAAATTTGTCATGTCTATATCTTTGATTTTATTTAGTAAGTTAGCAGAATACTTTAGATATACTGAGCTCATATGTGTGATATACACAAGTCGTGTGTGTATATATATATATATATATATATATATAATGTGTGTGTGTCTAGGCAGCATATGTTTATTCAAACAGGTTTGGTAAAATAAATCAGATATACTATATCTTTAATTTTATTTTAATTCTTTTAAGTTCACAAATTAATTTTTGTGTAGACATAATACAATTTTCTTTCAAAAAATTTTATATTTGCATGTACAGTCAGTTTCATCTGAGACCATCTTCAGGGGGATTGAATTGTCTGTATACATATTTCTGTAAATTCAAAATGTTTTTACTCTTCATTTTGCTGCGTTTTTTTATCAATTTCAAATTCACGTTTTTTTCTCGATGCAAGGGAGGCAACATTTATATTTTCCGAGATATATATATATATATATATATATATATATATAGCGTCCTTTGCACGGAGAAAAAAATCTTGTGAATTGATATAGAATGATAAAAAACTCAGTAAAACAAACAGTAAAAATGTTTTGAATTTACAGAAATATGTTTATACAAACAATTAAGCCCTGAAAGATGGTCTCAGATGACACTGAAAGTACTTGGGAATATAAAAATTAGTTAAAAGAAAATTTTGTTATTTTTCTTAATCAATTCTCTATGAATGCCAAGAAATTGATTCCTGGACTTGACAAGATGAAAACAAAAATAAACAATGTATTTCTAAATTTTTTAACCAAACCTGTTTGTATGTATGTATGTATGTATATATATATATATATAGCTTACTTCATTTGAATGCATTATTTAAAACAGTAGTATAGGTTTCAAATGCATATAACCAGAGTGGTTAATGCAGTTAACGTTGATAATTGCCTGATGGATATTTTTGTGGATACGTGGCAATTTTTTTTTTTTTTTTTTTTAAATAAAGCTGCGTTTTATACACCAGTTCATCTTGTATCCTGAAAAATGTGATAATTTTGTTTTCGGTTTACCATATGTAGCTAAATAGGATGATATTCTATTTAGGGTGACCAAATTGTATTTCATGACTTCTTTTGAAAATATTCCTTATAATTGTTAGGATTGTTTTTTCTGAGGTTCCAAGAAAATCCTATCAAAAATGAATTCAGGGCCAGTTTGGACATTAATTCTTTATATACTAATATTCTCAATAATAAATGTTCTGATTTATTTGAAAAAAATCTGAGAACATTAAAATTACCTCTATTGATACTATTATCAATATATGTATAAAATATACAATCATTTACCAACAAATATTATAAACAAATTTTGGATGTTTTATGTGTATTCCTCTTAGTGGCTGTTTAACATGGTTATTTGTAGAATTTTCACAAACCACTTTTTTATTGACTTAGCAGAGCCAAGCTCTCTACTGTAAACAGATGAAGATTTTAAACTCACGAACCAAGATGTTATGAACATTGACTTTAAGTGAAGTGTACAGTCTGAGAAAATATTTTGTACAATGCCATAAAAATGCCTTGGTATTTTTTTAATCTAGCTGCTTTGGTTTAGAGAAGACAGTACAAGAATTTGCTGACTTGTCAGAGGTTTTTAATCAGGACCAAAGCAGCTGGAAAAGAAAACCTTATTATTTTTCAATTTTGGGGATTAAAGTTTACACTTTCGAGGAAATTTCCTGGAGTTATTGTCTTATTTTGGAATATACTGCAGAATCAGTCTTTTTCCTTTTTCCTTTTTCCTTACATTTCACCTACACTGACCAAATATTTAAGGAGAAAATTTGTACAAATCTTTTACTTACTGAATAAATTTGTGCTTGAAAAAAATTTGTAACATTTGGCTGGTCAAACAGTGTCATCAGAAAAAATGGATTTTATTTCAGCCAAATCTATTTTATTTCAATCAAATTGACATTTAATCATATGAATGCTGGATTTTTTTTTTTTTTTCAGCATTCATGTAAATGACATGACTCATGTTCTGTCACTCCAATGTAAATCTGGTTAATAAAACCATTTTCTTGATGAAACCATTTGATTAGAAAAACATGTCAAAATTAGATTTTTCCAAATTATTGCATACTAGAAATGCCTGTAAAAATTTCAAGGTTTTTTTTATTTGAATTTTCAGACGCATCTTAATTCTTGAGCTAATGATTGAATTAACTTGTGAAAAGTTCTACAACAATAAAATATCTGTAGAAATTTCTAAATCACATTGTTAAATATTTGAGCTTAACAACTTTAGCAAAATATTACAATAACAATCACAAATTTGAATGCTGGTCTTAAGAAATAAGGGGTTACAAATGAAAAGATTTGATAATTATAACTTTTCTATTTTACTAAAACAGACATGAGTTATCTGCTTTTTTTATATCTTCCTTCTTTTCTTTCTTTCATTATCTCATTGGAACCTAGTAGTGTCTTTGATATGTTTTTCTGTCTTTCCATACAATGTAAACTGAATAGTCCATTATTTTTAAGTTATTGACAGGGTGTAATCTACATAGATGCTAACTGAGAAATTAAGGGAGTGTCAAGTAAAATTATAATAAGATATTGACCCTTAATTATTCTTGATCTGTTTAAAATGTTTAACATCAGTACATCATAATAATACATAGTATGTTTCACTGTGTATTCTTTTTCTTTATTCAGGCTAAAAATATCTGTTTGGAAAAACTAAAAAGAATAAGAATCCATGAGAAAATTTGATAAGGTAAAATATAATTCCTTTGATAAAATAAATTTCATGCAGAGATTAGCTTCTTTTCTAGAACTGTTACTTTGTGGGACAGACATCTGAGAAGATGCTCATCCAGTCACTAAAATCTTAACCTCTTCATGTCTAGATTCAGCCATTATCTATCCTTCATATCTTCACAATATACACCTCTTTCTTCTCCTTTTACACCCTTATGATAATCACATTTAGTAACTCTGATCTAAGTGGCTCTTGGGCCTTGTATTGGGTGATAAATAGTATTTAAAAAAATACAAATCCTAGGCTTTGTCACTCCTGGGTTTGAGGACCCCTCCCTGATTGACCACGTCTTCAGAGGTATAACCATACTCACCACACTGTGCCAATTGTGGGTCAGAAAAGATAAAAATAAATATTGAGCAGGAAATTAGTAATCAGGAAAAAGTGTTTTGCAAATTTTTTCATTTCAATTTATAATTTTATATTTTTTCAAACAGTTAATTGCAATTTATTTTTTAATTTATGCATTTAATCAGCTGAAAATAGTGTGGGATTTTGGGGGAGATGTACATATTTTCAAAATCTCATAAAAGAAAATTTTATCATTGCAGTTTAAAACAGATTTGATTTGAATTTATCTCCTTTCCTAATTTACTTATTAGATTAATAACCTATTCTTTATACAATTTCTATTAATATTATCGTTTTGTTAAATTTTAATATTTTTTTGGCTCATATAACTGAAAAGTGAAAACCTTGAGTTATTTCCCTTTAATTGTTTTTTACATCATAAAGATATCACTTGCGCACCACGACATGGTGTAATGGTTATCAAGCTTGTCTCGATAGAACAATTACGACTGAATAGTGAGTTCGATTCTAATTGGGTGTCCCATACTTTCAGCCTTGTGCCACATCTAAGGTACACTGAGAACAAAGTGATAACACAAAGTTATCACTTTGTATCATACCTTTTAGTAAAGAAGGTATCTTCATAGAAACGTGATGCCTAAAGTTTAAAATGAGTTTTTAAAATAAAATTATTTTTGAAGCAAATAGATTAAATTTAATATTTCCAATAAGCAAAATACTTTACTGTATTTCAAAACGAATTTAAATTGACTGGAAGAAATATTTATTTTGAAATCACTAAATATCTCTGATTTTAGCATCATTTTTAGCCATCTGTCAGCTCCGTGCAATTGTTTTATTAAAAATCTTTCAAAAATAAAATATGCTTTTCTAAAGTTTAATTTTGATTTAAAACAAATATTACTTTTAGTTTAAAATATTGCAGAAATGCATTTTTAACATGGAGTATTTAAGGTGTAGACTTCTTTATTCACAGGTGGAAATCTCTCTAACTTCTTTCTGTGGTGGA